TAAATATAATATCTATCTATGAATTTAAGTGAATAAAAGTCACCCTATAGGTCTATAATCATAAAATCTCTAGTTGAAGAAAACACTAGTTATGTGTGAGAGAAAATTTTGAAGTCTATGGATATGCTCTTTGTGATGGGGCTCACTAATCTCACTGCTTCTTACTCTTACTGGTATAGGAGATTTTATTTCCCTTTAAATTTTATACAAAGAAAATGTGTTCTTGTTAACATCCTTCTAAGAAAAATTAGACTTCAACTGTCAGCTTAGAGGAGCCCAGGGTTTTCAACGGATAGTTATGCGTGCTTTGCAGCGATGGTTAGTCACTAACATCTCACTCTTTGGTTTGTATTATAATTCTTGGTTGTTGAAAAACATTTTAGCACATTTGCTGCAGAAACATAGTGTTTGAGTGGCTCTGAGATGAGATATTGTCTGTATTTATGGTCACTAGCATGGTGACCTTCCTATGTCCTTGAGGAGGCAAAGGGGGAGATAAGTGCTGTGTATATGAATTTTCTGAACTCCTTTTGGAACTATAGCTTTGAAAGAGTAGGTTTGATTGGTTTATCTAGTGAAGGAATTATTAGAAAGCACATATTTGCAGAGAGATTTACACTTCAAATAAGTAAAGCAAACCTTACTTTAAGAATGTTTAGCCGGGCGGTGGTGGTGCACTCCTTTAGTCCCAGCACTTAGGAGGCAGAGGCAGGCGGATCTCTGTGAGTTCGAGGCCAACCTGGGCTACCAAGTGAGTTCCAGGAAAGGCGCAAAGCTACACAGAGAAATCCTGTCTTGAAAAACCAAAAAAAAAAAAAAAAAAAAAAGAATGTTTAAGATTCAGTGAGACAAAGAAAGGAAATCCCACAAGAAAAAAAGTCAAGATTAGTTACTATCATTTACTAAAATTAAATTATATGCAATACTTACATGTGTACAATAATTTTCAATGACTAGAGGATTTTATCTAAAGTTACAGAGAAAATATGAAAATTATTAATGGTTTTTCCTAAAATGAGTCATTGTAACTAACAGCTCTTGTTCAACTCAAATCTATAAGAAAGTAGTTTTAAAAATACATATAGTTTACATAAAGTATTGTGCTCTTAGTTATTTTCCTAGGAAGTTTTGTTCATAGATGTTTTGCATTCCCTGATTACAGATTCAGAGAACAAGAAGAGGGTGATGATTTAAAAGAAGAAGGTATAGGTGTCAGGGCAGTCACTAAGCAGGAATTTAACACTGGTAGGACACTATTAAAGAAGAGGAAAGAGAAGGAAAATATCCTACAGACAAGGTTCCAGGGGCTCAAGGGAAGGCCTTGGACACCAGAAGCTCCCCACGGAACAAAGGAAACAAGAATGAAGAAGCTGAACTAGCCAAGAATTTACCAAAACCAGCAAGACAAAAATGCAACTACTTTTTAAGTCTAAATTTAGTTTCTCCAAGGCTGGGGAACAGAAGGTAGCAGGATAAGAACATAAGGGTCATACAGCAGTAACAGGAAATGCAAATATAGAGGAATATGTCTGGTGAATGACTGCCCTATATTATTTTGTCTTAAGTAACTTTAATATCTTTATAAATTACAGTTGATTATGATATCCTTGCATATCTTTGCTTACGATATAGTCTTGATCATGAGTGCATAGAAAAGAAAGTGAATTTTATCCTAACATTTCTTTTCCCTGGTGTGATGGCTAGTTTTATGTCTATTTGACACAAGCTAGAGTTATTCATGAGAGGGGAAGTTCAACTGAGAAAATGACTTCATAAGATGAGGCTGTAGGCAAGCCTGTAGGGCATTTTCTCAGTTAGTGTTTGATGGGGGGAGGCCCAGCCAATTGTAGGTGGAGCTACCCTGGGGACTAGTCCTGGGTTCAGTAAGAAAGCAGGCTGAGCAAACAATGAGAAAAAAGCCAGTAAGCAGCCTTACTTCATGGCTTCTGCATCAGCTCCTGCCTCCAGGTTCCTGCTCTATTTGAGTTTCATGAGGTTGTTATGCCCAGATTGTGACCCCCCAAAGTGACCACCGAAGACCTTGGATGTCCAGAATGCAACAGCAAGGTTTATTCTGCAGATA